ACACACACACACACACAGGGGATTTTCTTCACCTAAATTCCAGGAGGTCGTAAATGGATCGGGTGTCAGGGTTACCATGGAATCAGGAGCCTGTTCCTGGGTGTTACAGAGTATTTGTTAAATCTAGCTAACAAAATATATATTGTGTGTTTGGGTGGCCCAGACACTACATTTGCTTGTATGTATTTTGAACACACTTCATTGTGCTCTCAGGTGATTCATTCACCTTCACTCACGCAGCGTGGGCGGAGTCTCGTACCTGTGCTCGTGGGTGACATCCGCCATGTTTGTGCGGTTTGGATGCAAAAAAAACAATGGATTATTTACTAAGAGATATGGATGTATGGACTCATTTCAATAAAACATTTCTGGTAAGCATCGTTGAGCATTTCTTTTTAGTATTTTACTTGTGCAGGCATTCATAAGCTCATAAAGGAACTTGCTAAAGTTAACCTCACGTGCGAGACTGCAGTGAACACGCCTTTCTTGCTTTGCCCGAAACACAAGTTAAAAATAAATACACTATATCTTTTTCATCTTTGATCTAAGTTTTGTAGTGTGGGTCTAGAGTGTTTATGCTACAGAAAACTTTGACGGGCAACACTACGGTCCGCCAACAGGCGAGGAAGAGAAGGATGATGGCAGTCAAGCATATACAAAGAGGAAGGTTTATTTGAATTTTTAGCTTCCAAATTCTTATTTTTGTAAATGCAATTGCAATAAGCAATTTTTTTCCCCCCATATTTCTTAAAGGACGTGAGAGTGAAGATATTTTGTTTTAGTGTGAACTGAATACATAAGCTAATAAGCTAGTTTCAGTTATTTTTATGATGAGAATGTACTGCAGTCATTAATATGCATCAGTATGTCTGAGATCATCTGCAATAGCTCTGTCCTGCTTTTACAACTAAATGTAAGCAGACTGTACATGCACAGATGCTTACCTCTTCCCAGGCACGTGACTACAACACAAACAACGCATCACACACTGTCAGACAAAATGTGCAAAATTTGTACCTTCAGGGGTACAATGGCTTGTCACTGGGGCAGTACCCTCAAGGGTACACCCGTTGTACCCTTTCACATGGGTACATATCTGTACCCTTGCAGTATGTACCAAAGGCAAATATGTACCTCTGCTGACTAAATTGTACCTTATAGTGCTATGGTACCATAATGTACCTTTAAAAAAGGTGCAAATTTGTCCTTTTAAGGGTACTGCCCCAGTGACAATCCTTTTGTACCCTTTGATGGCAAATTTGTACTCCATACAGCACATTAAAAAGGCCAGAATGCTGTTTATCACATTTATTAAACATTCAAAACCATTATATTCTCACATTTTTCACAGGATGAATGTTATAAGCTCTATCACAATGTCATAACAGAATGCATATATTGCTCAATTTTACTTTCGAAAAGGAGAAAAAAAAAGAGTTTACTTTTTATACTCAATTGTACACAGCAAGAATCAAAAAGCAATTTTTTTCCAACAGTACACATTTCATTAATTTTAACTATTACTTTTTAAAACGATTTATTTTGTATAATTGTAAACTGCAAGATTAAGCTTAATATTATATTAAACATTTCTTCAAAATCAGTACATCCCATTTCATTAACCTTTTTTTCT